GAAAGACATCCATTATGTTATGATCGGCTAGATGAGTCGATAGCTGATCATAGACCACCTTCTCCAGATTTTTTGCCAGAAATGGAAGCTTGGAAATAGGGCGATAATTAGAAAGAACCGAGGCATCAAGGCCTGGTTTCTTTAGAAGCGGCTGAACCACAGCATGTTTGAAGACAGGGGGTACAGCACTGGAAAAAAGACTGGTATTGATGAACATCTCTTTCAGGAGGCGCAGAGGAAGGGTGTCGTCTGGGGAACCAGATGGTTTCATCGACAGAAGCAAAGATTGCAGGCATGGAAGGGAAATAGGTTCAAAGTTGAGGAAGCATGCTGTATTAAAGGTTAAGGTAGGAAGGGTGTGCAGAGAGAATGATAAGCTAGCTCTGATAGAGGAAACCTTAGAAAAGAAATCTAGAAACTGATCCAGAAGATTTGGTGCAATAATTGAGCGGTTGGACTCATGAGGAACGAGAACCGAATTAATAGTTTTGTTGAGAACTTTTTGATTCGACCGGTTTGCAGAAATAATTTTAGAAAAGTAATAGCTTCTGGCATGCATAACTGCTTGTTGATATTTGGACCAGAGGTCTTGCAAAATCTGATATCAAATCTGGAAGTGGTCTTTTTTCCATTTGCGCTCAGCCTGTCTACAAAGTTTTTTGAAACTTCGAGTATGAGAGTTGAGCCAAGGGTCAGATTTATATTTGGAGTGAGCAGGTTTCAGAGGAGCAACAGAATTTAAGACTGTAAGACATTTATCATTTAAAAAAGCGATTTGATCATCCAGGCTAAGCTGACTAGGCAGATCAGACTCTACCTAGTCAGAAAAGTCAAAAAAGCACTGACAAAAGATCCTGCTGTTTCAGAGTTAAAGATGCGCCGTAACGAACGTGATGGACGAAGTGAATGATAGTTTATAGGTAAAAAAAAGTATCAAAAGAAATAAACATATGTCCAGACCAGCAGACTATGAAAAGAGATAGATCATTTAACAACAGACCAGATGAGAGCACAAGGTCGAGAGTATATGAGTGTACATGAGTTGGAGCATTTACAGACTGGGTCAAACCGAAAGCATCAATTAGACTAAGAAAATCTATGACAAATGTTTTTTCCAGACAGCAGATGTGAATATTAAAGTCTCCAAGAATGAGAACACATTGATATCGAGCAAAAATCTCAGCTAAGGGAGCAGAGAAATCAGTTATGAAGTACTTATTGTATCTGGGGGGTGGGGGTGGGGGGTGGGGGGGTAAATTAACAGACAGGACACACACACGCACACACACACACACACACACACACACACATGTGTGTGTGTGTGTGTGTGTGTGTGTGTGTGTGTGTGTGTGTGTGTGTGTGTGTGTATGTGTGTGTGTGTGTGTGTGTGTGTGTGTGTGTGTGTGTGTGTGTGTGTGTAAATATAAGATAAAATCTTTTATGGCTGGAGACAAAGAGGAGCAGAGACGAGCCCAGCATGGAGCTTAAACATCAGACGAGCTTAAGACATCTACAGGAAGAAGATGGAGAAACATCTGGGGCAGAACAATGCTCATGGTGCATGGAGAGGCCTCAAGAACATCACAGGTCACAGTGGGAGGAGTGTGGCCTGTGAGTCTGCTGAAGGGGACCATTCTTCTTCCGGCTCTTGGAGAGAACAGACGCTTTTTTTTTCTCCTCTCCCTCCCTCCTCATCCCAAGGCTCCTTGTCCTGTCGTTGTGTGCACAGCACTTTCTGCATTTTTTTCTGGAAACTGGAAATTATTAAAAATGGATCTGGTCAGTTGGTCTCTCAACGCGATTGAAATTTTTTTTCGATAATGAGAACGGGAGAAGGGGCTCCCAGAAGCCCCTCTGGGACAGAGCCAGCTGTGTATGTCATGGACTCCTGGAAACAGTGGAACATGATCTGCCTCTCTCAACTGTCTGTAGAGGATTCCAAAGATGTTTCGATATTCGTTGTTTTGGTTACGGATTCCTGCTGTTTGGCCTGAGCGGTTACCTGGCTTACCGGAAAATTTACGAGCTTTCGAAGAATATTGGCTCAATCCTGGAGCTAAGGGATGGAATGTATCGTGCTGTGAACGCACAAACTCATAATTGTCGAGATGAGTCGTAAGCTTGGAACTTTGGCTGAGATTCAGGCTCTGGCACAGAAGGTGGATTCCATCAAGGAGCAAGTTGACGGATCAGCATGGATTGGGAGATTAATTACGCCATTACTGGATCTAGAGGGGTTGAAGACCAACAGAACACTAAGACAGAGAGGAAATTATCTCTGTCTGTCCCCAAACAATTCTTATCTGAATCTGGTGCCCTTGGAGCCTGTGAGGCTGAAGTGAAAACTCCCCTCAGAAGAAATGTGGAATGCTGCCGTTGCTATGGAAACTCTTTCTCCCTATCCCAGTCTGGGTGTGACTGCAACCGGTGATGGCTGTGGAACCGTATCTAGGTGTCAATGTGCCCTCTAACCCATTATCTCCCTTCCCTGTCCAAACGGAGGTGATGAGCGCTGCCCTTTGCGGCTGCACGCACTGAAGTGAGGAGAGTCCCAACCCTACCTCCCCACGTAGTGGACACTTATGTAATGTCTGAAGTCTGTGTGCATATCTGTCTGAGGTGTTTTTTTGTATAACAAAGCTACCCTCTTTGTTGAGGGTAACTCTGAAGTGCCTTTTTTTCCCTCCCCTTGACTCTATCCTCATATAAACTCTCTTGATCTATTACGATAGCGCGACTCGAGTTGCGATTGACTACAGTCACCAATTCTTGTCATGTGTCTATGTCTATGTATGTATTTCTGATCTCAGAATTGTGTGTATTGAAACTCTAATTTCCCTCTGGGATTAATAAAGTATCTTTGAATTGAATTGAACTGGGCCAACGAGCTTAACCTGTTTTTTAACAAATTTGACTCCACCCCCGCTACAACAGGGACTACCACCACCACCCTCCCCCCATGGTCTTGCACATGTTCATGTTGAGCCTTTGGTGGGAGCAGGTCCCCATCCTGTGGAAGACCTCATGTGTGGTTACAGTTCCTAAAACATCCCATCCCAGGGAACCAGAGCACAACGGACCTGTCACCTTGACCTCCCATCTGATGAAGACCATGGAGAGACTCAATCTCAACCATCTACATTCAGTGGTGAGCCCAGAAATAGACCCACTGCAATTTGCATATAAATCAAAGATGGGGTGGAGGGTGCCCTCATCTACCTGCAGCACCGGGCTCTGGCTCACCTTGAGATGCAAAAAATCACTGTGAGAATCATGTTCTTTAACTTTTCAAGTGCTTTCAAGCAGCCATGTCTACTGCAGCAGAAGATGAGGGGTGCAGGAGTGGATGAACATCTGACTGCATGGGCCATGAACTACCTGACCACAGTATGTGAGGCTGCACAACTGTACGTCTGAGGTGGTTGTGTGGTAGTACTGGAGCTCCACAGGGTATGGTGCTCTCTCCTTTTTCTCTTCACCTTCTACACCTTGGACTTCACCTACAACACCAGCATCTGTCACCTCCAGAAGTTATCTGATGACTCAGTCATTGTTGGCTGTGTGTCTGGGGGGGATGGCCAGGAGTACAGGTCAGCCATCTTGGACTTTGTGGACTGGTGTAAGTGTAACCACTTTCGCTTGAACACCAGTAAAACAAAGGAAATGGTGACTGACTTCCAGAGAAACACTCTTCCTCACTCACCAGTAAACATCCAGGGAGCAGACACTGAGGTGGTGGATACCTTTAAGTACCTGGGTGTTCACCTCAACTGCAAACTGAACTGGTCCAACAACACAGAGTCTGTATACGAAGGGCCAAAGCCGCCTCCACTTCCTGAGGAGGCTGAGGTCCTCCAGAGTTAAATCTGCTACTAAAATCCTTTTCATCAGTCTGTGGTTATCCACTCTGCTGTGGTCTGTTGGGGTGCAGGCAGCTAGTTCACAAAGCTAACTTGGTTCTGAGCTGCCCACTGGATTCAGTTGAGGAGACGTGTGAAAGGAGGATTCGTGGGAAAATGACCTCCATCTTTAAGAAAAACCATCCCACCCACAGCATTCCACTGTGGAGACCAAGGACAGCTTCCTTCAGAGTCGGACTGAGACATCCCAGAAGTAAAACAGAACACTACCATAGGCCATTGATCCCCTCTGCAGTAAGCGTGTAGAAGTCCTCAGTTTAACTGGTACTGGCATTATCCTGGTACACAGTAACACCAATGCAATACTCAGTATGTGTTCAATACTGGAGGTATATTAGTATGTCTGTGTCCCTTACAGAACACTGCCTAGTTCTCGAAACACACGTTTTCTTTTTATTTGTTGTTTTTAGTGATTAAAGGTTACAATACTAGCTCACTGCCCTTGTGTGTTAACCTGTAACCTTGTTATTATTTTTCATCTTCCTTTTCTCTAAGTGAATGTGCTGCTGTAGCAAGTGAATTTCCCTACTGAGGGATCATTCTGTTCTATTCTATTTAGTGTCTTGTCTCCCACTCTGTTAATTAGTCTGACTTGCCCGTTGGTTACTATTGGTATAACACACACCTGCTCCATGACATTCCTTGCACCTCCCTGCTGTATTGATACCCGGTTCAGTTGTTTTGTTGGTTCCTTTGTGTTTTCATCCTTGCAATTACGTCTAGTAAAATGTATGTTTGATCCTTGATGTGCTTGTTTGTGTGATAAAATACTAAGTTTACTTACCTGGCTGCTTCCTGGATTGCTTGTGTTTGGGTCTTACCCCAACAAAAACTTTATGACATAATCATAATATGAAATTGTCATTTAAAACATTTAATATCTATAATTGGTTTGTCTTTGTCTGGTAGTGACATTTGTTTGCTGATTTGAACCATTAAAGGGTGACAGGAAACTTATAAGGGAAATACTTTTTCACAGCTCTGTATCTGTATTGCCCATTCCATGAATACTTCACAAGTAGCTAACCCAATTCAAGGCAAACAATTCAAAATAAGACTGTTAGATTATCAATCCCTAACCTGGTTGCTTATATCTTCATTGTTGCGGATGTAGTCCTCAAATGAGACCACGGGCTCCCAGGGGTCATTCTGAGTGTAAATGCTGCTGCTTGTGGCTTCACTGTCTTTATGACGTGTCACAGCCAGGGGATATCTGAAGGAAACAGTCAGGTGTCAGTCAGTCTTTTTAAAAGTAAACATAAAAAGCTGCTAATGACATTTACTAATCCCAGAGTTAAGTGGTCATTTTAAACACAATCTTCCCCATCTGAAACCAGTACCAAATACTCAAGATGCAAATGTACCTGGCCCAACTGATGCCAACTTCTTCTTTCCAGCCTTTGGGGAGGACGCTGTGGGCATGTGAATTAAACTGAATCCGATAACCCCTCTGGTGTCCCCATTTATTTTTATCATTAGGATTGTAAAAGTGCAGATATCGAGGAAACTTTTTCCCAAAGCGGAAGGCAGCAGATCGCTCGGTCTTGTGCTCGTTGCGTTGGAGTTTGGACTGGACGATGAAATTCTGCTTGCTCCATGGATTTGTGAAGTTGACATATTTCAGATCCAGCGTCTCAAAGCTGTTCTCTCGACCTGTGTCACAAAGAGTTTAAACATATTACTGTGATATGATAAGATATCGCTAATTGCAATGAGCAGTTCTTCATTACTTTCACTGATGGATATAAAATATAAGTTTAGGCTGAATGAGACACCATTGTCCTCAAATGGTTCACCTTAACTGAACCTTAACTCTCATGAGGAAACACATGAATAGCAACATATTAGCAAGTTTTTATGATATTTTACCTGTAATCTGGTATGGCTGATTCATTTCCAACACATAGTCTAGACACCAACACGTGGCTACTAACTGCTTGATTTAAATGAGCTACAGTGCACAGCTGCCCAGGGACAGACTGACAGAAGTGAGGCTGCTGCATACAGGCACCACCTGTGTTCAGACCTGGAACCTTCTGATTACTGGACAACCTGCTCTACCTCCTGAGCTTCTGCTGTCCCTAACGGGGCAAGCACATAACTCCTGCCACCACCACCCTAGAATGTCTGATTTTGTTGGCAAAAAGTCATGAACCGATTGTTTTCAAACTTTTAAGAAAGCAATCACTGCACATTAGGGCCTGCACGACTTTATTTTTTTTAAAGTCGACAGTCAAGTAATGAAAGTCGAGTCGACTTCGACTAGTCGTTGATGACGTCATACGCCGGAAGCGGCGGGGGGGGGGGGGGGGGGGTCGGTCGGTAGGTTCGCTGGAGTTTTTGACAATTAAAATTGCGCCCACATTTTCTAAGTTAACACATCTCTTTTAACAACGGTAGTTTCTGCATCCTACTTCAGTCCTCTCCCCCCTCCCCCTGCGCAGCAGCCGCAAACTCACTGATGTGCCTGCAGCCTTTCCTGCTGCTCTAAACATTAAAATAATTATTTCATTTTCTGTTCCTCACTTCTGATTACCTTCAATGGTGTCTGTTTGTTGCAACCACCAGGTACAAAAACGAACTTGTTTTTATTTGACTATTTTTCTGTCCTGTCTGTTTATTACCTTCCTGCATCTCCTCTCAATCCTAAAGAAAAACTGCTACCTGGGTTCATTTATATTCACCTTATGAGTTACCTTTGAACTGCAGTTCTAAAAGATCTACCGACCGCAAAAACAGCGGAGCGCTCGCTGTTTGGCGGCCGTATCAGTGATCCGTGCGTCGGAGGACAAGGTGATGCGCGCAGCGCCCCGCTCCACAGCATGCAGCGAAACGCATCAGGCGCAAATAAAAGACAGAAAACATTAAAGGAAATGAACTGACATGAACGATCGCGTGTTAAATTAGTTTTTGAGGTGGCGACACCTGATTGTTACTGTGGCCGTGCTCAGGAGGCAGATCTACCGACCGCAAAAACAGCGGAGCGCTCCCTGCTTGCCGGTGTTGTGCCATAAATCGACTCGCTGCCAAAAAATGATTAGCCACTAAAGAAAGGAAGGGGAAAAAATCTAATCGCTGGAGAATTGTTCATTTACATTTATACAACGTTTACATTCAATACAGGGCGCCATTTTACATTGTTTATTTATTTTTTTAGTATCAAGGCTGTAACATAAAGAAAGCCAGTTCTTACCACAAACCATCTTTCAATCGCAAATATTGCAAAAAGGATTAATATATCCTCATTGTGAACGTTTAAGACAAATAGCAACACTTAAAACAACTTCCGAACTGGACAAAACTAAGCTAATCATTTTTTGGCAGTGATCGATTTATGGCACAACACCGGCCGGCTACAACGGGACCGTTTTTGCTGCGGAGTTCATGCCGGAGCGGAGTGGGGATAGTGGAAACTTGGGGGTGTCACCGGAGGACAACAGGTGATGCGCCTCGCTCCGCAGCAGCGAAATGCATCAGGCACAAATAACAGACAGAAAACATGAAAGGAAATGAGCCGACATGAACGATCGCGTGTTTAATTTGTTTTTGAGTTGGTGACACCTGATTTGGCGGTGCTCAGGACGCAATGTCTGGAGCGCACGTCAATGATCAGAGCTTTGCATGCGCAAACTGGTTAAGATTAGGATGGGGGTGAGGGGAAGGTTAAATTGCAAAAGGGAAAAGCTCACAGTTTGGTTAAATGTCCGTTTTACCGCCGGTGTCAGTACCGCACAGCATGTCGCCTCCGCCTCGATCCAGACGCGCAGGGGCTCATCACCTGCTGTCCGAGGACTGCATCTTGTCAGTCATTATCACGTGACAGCGACTAGTTGATGACAGGCATAAAAAGTCACTACAGAGCCGTGAAGTCGACTAGTCGACTAGTCGACTATTTCGTACAACCCCTACTGCACATACCTTATGCAATTACCCTGGATTCAAGATGGCTGCCACACCTAATGGGCAATAGCAAACACGAAAATTGCTATGGTAGGGTCACAGATACTAAGCAGCAATCTGAACTTCTGATTTTGTAAGATCATGCATAATCATTACATCAACTCCATAAGTTCTCAACATAAAAGTATGTTTATTAAAGGCTACTGGCCCTTTACTTTTATCTAGGAGCCATGGCTGGATGTAATCTGATACCAAAATCTAAAACTTAGATATGGATCTAAAACACAAAACTGTATCAAAACACTTACCAGCAATATCCAGGTCCACTTTGTAATGAATAAGGTGTGTGTGCAGGTTGCCCAGCACATAGTTGTATACCTTTGTGCCATAGTCAAGTCCCTGAGGTGTAAAGAATGTGGCATGGATATATCCAGTAGCACTAACCTTTACCTCTACAACTCCATTCTGGTAGAATAGGAAGTCCCAAATGTAATCATAGTTGTAAACTGTTGAGGTTGTTCTCATTACCAGTACAGTATTCTCTAAGCCGCCAAAGAAGTTGTATCCTCCCTGAAAATTTGAATTGAAATGTCTTCTCAGGGGCATTGCAGTGGTCATCTCAAAAATACAGAGAGCATTTTTGTGAAGCACAGGTTTGTCTGTGTCAAAGAAGTGATGAAGGTCAATAAATGTGGCAATCTCAGGACAGTCAATACCAGGTGCCAGCTCATAAGTGGAGCTGCCCATCGCCCATCCTGCATCTATGTATTTTGTTTGCATAGCAGCAGGAGTATCACCAGAATAGAAGGCGATCGCTTCTTGGAGGCTGATCTCATAGGCAATTCTTTCTCCGTTAAAACGCAAATCAAAGACTTGGAGGCCAGCTGATGAGCGGACTCTGTAGGCAAAGGACCAGCCAAAATATTCCACAAAGTTGTGATTGATGTGATAGCGATGCCCCTGAGGCTCAACAAGCTTTGGCCCATGAATATTAGTGGGTGTGTTGCTTTGACCCCGCGGTACATAGGTAGAGTACAGGTCATTATCATCATGAACAGGCAACTGGAACTTCTCTACTTCTCCTGATTCATACTTGTCTATCAGTTCCTCAACACTGTCAAAGTACATGCTGTTGTACCAGACTTTCTCAACAGTCCACTTGTCTGGATCCAAATCCTGATGATTGATCAGCACCTCAAATCCAATCGGATGAATGAAATAACCCTCCACAAACTTCTGCAGCATGATCCATGTCCTCCTCTGACCTGGAGCCAATCCACGGGGTGCAATGTCTGAGAACGTCAGGCAGCGGTTAGTACAGTTAGTGTAGGAAAAGCCTCCAGTGCTCTCATAAATAAGCTTTTGAGCTTTAGTTGCGATCTCCTCCAGCTTATTTTCAAGATGAGCGTACTCTACATTAGTGATTGGTCGTGACTCAAAGAGAACAGGTTTGCTCCCTTTGAATGTCTTGACCTCATGATAGTTTGGGAATGGTATGGGACCCACAATGTACTCAGTAATGTTGGGCTTAATTTGGTTCCCAAACATAATAACCACACGAGCTTGTCGGGGGGGTTTGGCATGCCCACGGTCCAGAGCTCTCAGAGCTTCATGTTTCCTTGGCAGGTGAAGTTCCATCAACAAGATGCTGTTCTTCTTCAGGGATTTACTTCGAGCATCAGTGAGCTTCATCTCTGGGATTTCATGTAGATAAGCCCGGACAGCTTTCATCTCACTCACTGTAAGGTCAGCAAACATGGGGGCACCATGATGAGCGTATTCTCTAGATTTGGAAGCACTAGAGCCAGCCAAGCAGATCAGCTGCAGCACAAAGATAAGCTTCATGGCTGGAATAAAATGAAAAAAAAAATATTACATTCAGTTAATAGACAATAACATATCTTATGAATGTCTTTTGATCGTCAATACACCCCAATACTAACAGTTAAAACATCAAACATTTTATTACTAATGACCCATATTTTATTTAGTTTTAAAATTTCAAAATGTTTTTACAATGCCAATCCTTTCAGCTGTTTGACCTTTTACTCTGTAGGGTCAACTTTAACCTAGACACTTAAATCCAAAAATAAAGCAGTCACAAGTCGATTTTACTACTGAGTGCCTTTGTGTAAGAACTGTGTTCTATAAATAAAGCAGTCTTGTCTTGTCAAGTTTTTTAGCTGTATTTATTTAACCCAGCTTCTCGAAACCTTTTATCATTTTTCTAAAATCACAGGTTAAAGTTGAGGTACGACTTGGGATTTTCAGAAAAATTCATAATAATTATATTGGGAAGAGATTGGAGCAACGGCCACCCCTTGCTTCATTTCAGGCCTTGTCCTGACAGAACCATAGGTCCTATAAAAATGAGAAGCATCCTGGTGTAAAGCTGATAGATATTCCTACATTTTGAGCCATAACACATAAATGTACTCCAAAACTTGTACCATTCGTTGGTTTGAGAATGTTTAAATTTAAAACATGTTTCTTCCTACTCTAAGTTCATGTGACCTTGAGTGGAGCTGAACATTTCTTTATAGACGAAAATCTTCAATCAAATTTCTGCAACAACCACATATTTTAGAGTGCACTAATTAATTTATCAAAAGCAATATGGCTGTTATGTCAGTGTTACATCCAACAGTTTTGCCCGGATGCCTGGAAGGCCCCGCCGTGTGATTACAGCTCTGTTTTCAGTGGATGCATGTTTCAGGACCTTGGACAGCTCTGTGCTAGAGCCTTGACGGACCGCGGCTGTGAGTTGTTACGCTAATGAGGACGCCAACAAAAGAGAGTTCATGAGAAGAGCAAAGGAGGAGACGAGAGCTGAGGAGCGAGAGAAACAGAGAGCGAGGATCTGAGAGAAAATGAAAGTTCCTGCACTTGGAGATGGACCTGATCAAACAGATGAGGATGGAGAGATGAACCTGAGACGCTGGAGTTGAGAGACGACCTAGAAACCTGATGGATCTCCAATGCTGATCCCTGAGCTGAACGGGAAGCCTGCTGCTTCCCGTGTGTGGTTATGACACCCCAGAGGAAAGCTTCTGGCCGATGAGTTGGGATTATGGTTTTTAGACGGTCTCTGAGTAAACTGGTGCTGTGTGTGGTATTTGCCACCAGACTAAAGCTCTCCATAAATATCAAGTAAACGGATGTCCTTGTGTGGAAGCTGCTGACTAGAATTCAAGCCCTTCTTGTGTGCTGTCCCTGCTGGGAACTGGGAAAGTAAATAAGGAGAAGTCCTAGGCAGAGTCGGGAGTTGTTTTTTGTTTTTGTTTTTTTTGTAAACCCTTTGGAGTAATCTCCTGAAAAGGAGTTTGGCCCTCTGATTTGAAGGGGATGTTTGATCCCTCTCTCGTGGGGGTTTTAGATGACACGCTGGGATTCGAGGCCATGCATCCTCCTTCTCTTTGTTTGTGTAAATAGCTCTTTTTGTTCTCTTCAGCTCCTGTGGGTTGATATCTGTTATTAATTAAAATACTGTTTATTTTTTACTGAATGTTTTGACCCTTCCCCTGAGCTTCAGGGAGATTTTTGGTTATTTTTGTAACCCAGTGCTATTGCAGGAGATCATCCAGTAGAGCTTATAAAAATAAAAAGCTGTTTAAATAACCTTAACTGCCTCACCTTTTGTTATGTTTCGACCCCATACCCTCCTTGACATGGGGGGGTTGTGACAGTCAGCTTCAAGGGAATGTCTTTGTTTAAGCTGTAGGTATTACGGTTCTTTTGCTACGAGCCTCAAAAGCAGGAGTGAGCCAGATTTTCATCTACTGGGATCCATTAAAAACAAAAGGTTGTGGTCGGGACAGCAGCAGTCTTTGCTTCATATCTCCTAAAAAAGTCAATTTAGGCACCCTAAAATTTACAGATTACCATCCAAGATTTCTGCCACTAACAGTTTTCAAATTGTTGGATAAGATGTAATACTTTTTGAATGGGAATGAGAAGTTTGAGATCTCTGACCTGACATCTGCCTACCTACATGTAGTTGGTCATTAGGTGTGAATGTAAACGATGTAAAGATGGAAGTTCTCTCCTTAAACCAGTCATGAATTATTTGTCTGTCTGTCTCTGTGGCTCCCTTATTTTGTATTTCCCCGTCTCCCTCAATAATGTCCCTGTCTCTGTCTCTCTGACTCCCTCCCTCAAACATTTCCTAGCATTTCATCACAAATTTAAAGTTTTTTTATTTTATTTTAGTTATTTGATATAAACACAACCTGATCTGATTAGCACATCGTGACAGATTGTACAGTGGTTAAGGAGCGAGGCTTTAACCCTAGAGGGCTGGGTTCAAATCCAACCTGAGATAAGAGGTAAAGAAATTACATTTTTTCTTGACTAAAATTTCTCCTTAAACCACATAACTTCAATCACTATCTGTCTATCCGTCTGTCTATGTGAAGTGGTCTTGCACATGTTCATCCTGAGCCTTCGGTTGGAGCAGGTGCCCATCCTGTGGAAGATCTCCTGTGTGGTTCCAGTTCCCAAAACATCCCATCCCAGGGAACCAGACCACCACAGACCTATTGCCTTGACCTCCAATCTGATGAAGACTATGGAGAGTCTCATCCTCACCTATCTACGGGGTGACCCCGGAAATAGACCCATTGCAATTTACATATAAACCAAACATGGGGGTGGAGGAAGCACTCATCTACCTGCAGCACCGGGCCCTGTCTCTGACTGGGATTCAAAACAGCGCTGTGAGAATCTTGTTCTTCAACTTCTAAAGTGCCTTCAACACCATCCAGCCGTGTCTACTGCGGCAAAAGATGAGGGGTGCAGGAGTACAGGTCAGTCATCATGGACGTTGTGGACTGGCATGAGCATAACGACCTTCGCTTGAACAACAGTTAAAGGAAATTGTGATTCACTTGCAGAGAAACACTCCTCCTCACTCACCAGTAAACATCCAGGGAGCTGACATGGAGGTGGTGGATACCTTTAAGGACCTGGATGTTCACCTGAACAGCAAACTGAACTGGTCCAACAAAATAGTTGCTCTGTACAAGAAGGGCCAAAGGTGCCTCCAACTCCTGAGGAGGCTGAGGTCCTTCGGAATTAATTCCCAGCTGCTAAAATCCTTTTATCACTCTGTGGTTGGATCTGTTATCCACTCTGCTGGTCTGTTGTGGTGCAGGCAGCTCTGACCTAGACCAGAAGAGACTGAACAAGCTAGTTCACAAAGCTAGCTCGGTTCTCAGCTGCCTACTGGATTCAGTTGAGGAGACGTGTGAAAGAAGGATGCTGGGGAACATGTCCTCCATCTTTAAAAATAACCCTCCCATCCACAGCATTCCACTGTGGAGACAATGGACAGCTCCTTCAGAGGCAGACTCAAGCCCCCGCAATGCGGCTCAAAAAATGAGGCCAACCCGGAAGTACCAAAAATTGCAGTTCCACCCTCATCCGCTAGGGGCTGGTGTAAGAAGCGAGCAAATTCTCATTGACACCCATGTTAAAAATACCAATTTCACAGCAGAAATAAACATGTTTACAGCCTGGTACCAAAACATGTTTTTTGTTTAAATGATCTAGTTTACACTCATGACAACTCTGAGGGGGGTGAATTTTTTTTCTCACTCTTCTGTTTAAGTGTATTAAAAGCCTAAAAGTCTGAATAATTAATGAGCATCAGACCCACGGGACCACAGAGCTAGCTCCGTGGAAAAACCTCGGTAGAGCCTCAGTCTGGCCTGGAAACTGCTCCGGGATTTTGAGTCTCTGTGTTTGTGTATTCTTTTTTGGATATTATTTGTGCAATTGTTGGACAAAATGACTTGCTGTGGTATTAATTGCACTAATAGAGCGTCCAAGGAGTCTCCACTTCATTTTTTTCAGCAAGTAAAATTATATTTATGTATTTTAGGTCACTGCCGAGCTGAGCTTAGATTTTAACATGTACTGTTTAACCATGAAATTTAAATGTAATAGGGTAAAACCCAGTGCATTTAACATAATGCTGCACTTTAGAAAATGGGTTGAAATATAACATGTTGGTGGAGCTGGGTTCCGACTATCGGCTTGTCGAGCTCTCGGGAGACCGATGTTTTCCACCCGGTTCTCTACTCCCCGCAGCTCGGCGCATCTCTGTCTGATCGCGGCTTCTGTCTGCTGCGCGGGCTGACGGCTTGTGGAGCTCTGGGATGGAAACCTTTCCACCCGGTTCTCCCCAGCGGCAGCTCTGCGCATCTCAGATCGCAGCGTTGCTTGTCTGCTGTGTGGCTGCCGGCTTGTGGAGGTCTCGGAGACCTCTGTGTTCCACCCGGTTTTACCCAGCGGTCAGCCCGGCGTATTTCTGACTCAGAGGCTCTGGTGTTGTGCACAGTTAACTCCGGTTGTAGCTAGGTTGCTACCTCCGTTAGCTTAGCTCCCACCTCCACATTAGCTTTGGGTTAGCTTCAGGTTAGCTAGTAGCTACTTGTAGGTAGTTCGACCGGGTGTGGCCAGTTGATCCCAGCCTTACAGTCCCACCCTCAGCTCCACCTCTCTTTCCTTTTGTGGAATTGTCTGGGCTTGACGGAACTTGTGACACATTGTTATTGGAGCCTATGGAAATGAATTGTCCAGTATTTATATGTCGATGGGCAGACTGAGACATCCCAAAAGTAAAACAGAATGCTACCATAGGTCATTCATCCCCTCTGCAGTAAGAGTGTAGACCTCATCAGCTTAACTGGTACTGGCATCATCCTTGTACATAATAACACCAATGTAATACTCAGTATCTGTTCATTGCTCATGCAGTACCAGATTTACATAGTATGTCTGAGTCCCTTACATAATGCTGCATTGTTCTGGAACACGGTTAGTTGCATTAACCCGGTTCCGCAAG